CCCGAGTCAAAAAGGCCGAATCAAAAAGTCAAAAGAGCCGCATAAAAAAGTCAAAAAGGACCTCAGACTCCTAGTCAAAAGGGCCCCATATAAAAAAAATAACATGTTTTCTTATTAGTTATTATGGTAAAAGGTTATACATCTATACAATGTATACTTTATACATACTAGTTCAGTTTTAAATAAGATATTTTTTCAATATTTGAAGAAAAATGATGCCAAAGAATAGTGTAGTGTAACTGAACATCTAATTAACACCTTGAATGTTTTACTTCAGATCCTTGAGACTGGTGGTCTAATACAGGAAAGTAACTGATGTTGATGATAGTACAAGCAGTGAATTGGAATTTGTTTAAAGCACTTGTTATCAACAACAGACTATATTTTGCATTAAATGTGGTGACATTTATCTAATGCAAGATCGATTCTATGTGATATATATTTCCATAAAGTATTCCTGATTGTATTGATGAAAAGTACAAGCAGTCAATTGGAATACGGCAGGGTTATCAGAAGCATTCTGTTACTCACTTATTTAAGAGTGAAAATATAGTAAAGTCTAACGATTCTTTCTCTGAGGTATTTGAATCGTCCGTGGGACAACGTCATTGAGTTTTCAAACACTTCACAGACTTCACTGCCATAGTAGAGGGAAGTGATATCAAAAACAAGTCTGTCCAGGATTTTATAGTCACATATTGACACTGAGTCAACTCACTGAGACATGTATTTCAATTGTAAGGTTTATTAACAATGAAAACAATACTCTAAAATATTCTGACAGTATTCACATGAAGAGCAAAGAAATCTTTCGGATTAGTGACAGCTTACATGATTGTCAAAACACAAATGTGGCATCAAAGGGGATGTATATTGTGTATGTATGTTTTCATGTAATATGTTAGTTCCTTACAGGTGTGTTGTGGTACTATTGTGAAATGTATTTCTCTGCCAAAGGATTTGTCATAATCATCAATGATAAGTGTTTTATTACTTAGATGAAATACATAAACATCCCATACATCTATACTTCATCATCATTTTCTGTCAAATATTGAAAAAATATCTTATGAATAACTGAACAAGTATGTATAAAGTATATGTTGTATAGATGAATAACCTCTTATTATAATACACTTTTGAAAAAAGATGTTATTATTGTGTCTTTTTATGGGGCCCTTTTGACCAGGGGTTTGTGGCCGTTTTGACTTTCTTGCGGCCCTTTTGATTTTTACGTTTTGGGGCCCTTTTGTCATGTGACCTGTTTGACTAGGACCTGAGCTCCCTCTCTCCACTGGGACAATCATTCACTCTAGCGGTGTGAACATAATTCCTCACAAGTCAACTAATTAGCGTTCAAGTTAGTGCTGATGTTGCCACAGGAATCCATGCATCAGGCATGCCAATAACTTGCCACCATGTAATTTCTATAAGTCTTGCCATGATAAAAACGTCAATTTTTAGTCTTCCTTTAAATCAGTAGTGCATTTGTGAAATTTACAACCAACCATGATTGGCACCTTCTCTGCAAGTGAACATGCAGCCATAGCTTTTCCGATATTGTGTGAAATGTGTCTGCCAGTATGCTAATTGGGTATGATCACCTGTTGAGATCAACATTTTAAGAATGGCCCTTGGATTCCGATGGTGCTTAATTAATGATTATGTTTACAGTTAAATGCTTTGTCACACTTTTTCTATGTCAGTGGGGTAGCCTAGAGGTTAAAGCGTTCTCTTGTCACGCTGAAAACCCGGGTTCGATTCCCCACATGGGAGCAATGTGTGAAGCCCTTTCCTGGTATCCCGGTCATGATATTGCTAAAAGCGGCATAAAACTAAACTCACTCACTCATTCTATGGTGAAAACTGAATATCACTAGCACTTACTTAACAAGTTCATGTTACACATTGATAACAGTACAGACTTCATTTGCACATAACACTGGATGTCTACACGCTGTTTCTGAGCTGTGATGGTTGGTCAGGGACAGCCAACACTGGATGTTTACACGCTGTTTCCGAGCTGTGATGGTTGGTCACGGGCAGCCTATAACAGCTGTGAGGATAACAAAACCGAACTCAGGCAGCTACTAGAACCCTGGTACAATTGATTACTTATCAGTTCTGGTGACTGTGCTAGATGTGTTGGTTTGTTAAATTCAGTACAGCTATGTGCGTCAACAGTAACAGCTGGCTGGTGTATGTGCGTACAAGTCCTTGAAGAAGTCAGTTTTTGCTGCACCATCTGGTGTTGGGGATGATTGGATGAAACAGAACTAGACACTCCCCCTGACAGTTTGTGGATGTGACGCCATGATGTAGATGAAAGCAATGCCACTATGTATGTCATTAAAATATAAAACAGGGATGTTGTATAGGGCAAGAAGATGAAATTTGGAAATTTTAATATAAATTGTATATTTACAGTACAACCAGAAATTATTGAGAATTTAAAGATTGTAAATTTTTATATTTTTTTCTCTCATTACTCATGTATTAAATGTGAATATTAGCAGAACATAACTCCAGATTCAAAGACAGGTGAACAGTTAGTATTTTGTCAAGTCACCATGGGCAGCAATGCAGGCTTCAATGCGTCGGGGCATACTACTGATCAAAGACGTTAGAAAGTCGTGGTCCATGCTGTCCCAATATCGGACCACCTCTTCTTTCATTTCAGCAATTTAAGATTTTTCTTATTGACACTTTCCTTCATAAGTCCCCAAACATTTTCTATTGGATTTAGGTCAGGACTATAGCTTGGCCAATCTAATAATGTCATATTTTGGGTCCGAAACAAGGCCTGTGAATGCTTTGAACGATGTTTTGGGTTGTTGTCCTGCTGAAAAATCCAAACATTTCCATAGAACACGTGAGCAGATGGAAGTAAATGTCCTTGGAGAATATCTGTGTACCGCTCACTGTTCATATTTCCTTCAAATACACAAAGGGGCATTGCCCCTAACACAGATATGCCACCCCACACATTAAATGTCGGACTGTACTTTGGGCGCTGATACAAAGGTTTTTCAGTTTGTTTGGTCCAGAATTTCAGTGTATTAGGAAACAGCCACACAGAACTTTCATCTGAGAAAATCACATTGTCCCAGTTAAAATTTCTATGCTGTAAGCACCAGTTCAACCTTCGTTCCTTTTGTTCAGGTTTCATGATCGGTGATGGAATTCCTCGACTTTTCTGCCAACCCACTGCATGCAGCTCAGATCTAATTGTCTCCTTACAGACAGCCACAGTTCCTCTATCAATCATATCCAGCCTGAAGTTTTCTAAACTCCTTCGTTTGTTTTTCGAAACAAGAATACCAAGCTGCCTCCTGTCACTGACAGTCAATTTTCTGGGCCTACCTGCGCCTCCCTGGTGCTCAATGCCATATCCATTTGCAATATTTTTTCAAAACACGATAAACAGTGGACAAAGGGATGCCTGTTCTACTTAAAATCACTGTAGCTGGTCTGATGTCCTTGTTATAATACTCTAAAATCAACTTCCTCTTCTCTAAATCATCCATACTGAGGATCACTGAAAATGTCGTCTGATAGCAAGTAAACAAAGGGGGATAACTCTTCCCAAACTGACAAAGGATTAACGGAGTTGTCTCTCTTGAACGAAACCAAGCACTTGATAGCTGGTCAAGGTTGTTTATACTAGAAATCCAATTAAACATATTCCTAAAATTCTCAATAATTTATGGTCATACTATATATACTCATCCTATCTCACGACTTGCACCTCTCTCTCTTGCTTCGATTTTTAGTGGAACGACTGTAAACTTTTTCCCATAGGCCTCCATGTCCATTTGCCCGTGCACTCCATGCTGCTCTCCTTAATTAGCTTCCTAGTTCCTAATAAAGCTTGCAGCATGCTCCACTAATTGCCCACGTGACTACCTTGAATGATCATTCTCTTTCTTGTTGCACGACTGTGTGGACGTGCTGTACATTAGGGACATTATTTCACCCTTACATCATGGGGAAAACTGATAATCAGTCAAGGAAAAGGAAAGTTTGTGCTCGATGCAAGACGAATTATTCGTCCCTCGACCCTCACTCGTCTTGCAGTGACTGTATTGGACAATGTAACAGGAACAAACGATGTGGCAAGTCATGAGATAGGATAAGTTTAAAAAATATATTGTTGTGGTATATGGTGGTATATGGCATGTATACAATATGAACTATGGAGATGGAATAAAATGGCAAGATATCAGGGGCGGATACAGCCTTTTCAGAAGGGGGGAGTGGGTGCACTCGAGAGTAAATGAGTGAGGGAGGTTTTACGCACCTTTTAGCAATATCATGGCGGGGACACACTCTTGTGAAAGGTGGGGTGGGTGCACACTTCAATTTCGCAAGAGTTTCAATGATCATTTAATAAACTTTCAGGACAAAAGTGGGGATGCACACCCTTGCATCTCCCCTCTAGATCCACTTATGGGTATATGTTGAGATGGACTGACCGACTGAGTTTGGTTTTACGCTGCTTTTAGCAATATTCCAGCAACATCACGGTGGGGGGACACCAGAAATGGGCTTCACACATTGTACCCATGTGGGGATTCGAACCCGGGTCTTCGGCGTGACGAGCCAACGCTTTAACCACTAGGCTACCCCTCTGCCCCTATGTTGAGATGGAATATAGTGGTATACGTTATGTACATGGAATATAGTGATTGGTGTATGTTACATAGATGGAATATAGTGCTGTGGTATATGTCAAGATGGACTATATAGTATATGACATATCAATGGAATAAAGTGCTATAATATAGGTCATGACTTTGGACTATATGTAAACTAGATGGAATATATGGATCTTTTCAGTTCACCTTAGCATGACAATACAGACTGTTATTTTTATGTACAAGACTAGAAACTTTTACTAGACACATGAGGTGGCTGGAGTTCACGCACTGGACTTTATATGTCAACACGGACCTGCTGAAGGCTATTTCATCGAATAAAACAAAACAGACATACAATTTTATATATATATATATTTATTTATTTTATGATTTGGAGTTATTTTACAGATCTCTGTAAAACAATGAGAATTTCATTTGGAGATATAATCAACAACAGGCATATGTACCATTAATTTGGCCCTTGCAGATATTCCCACAACCAGAAAATGGTCAACAAAAATAGTTCTCTGTCTTTGTCTAAGAGATGTAAATATTTACACTGACTAGGTTTTTCCGACAGTACGGCCGAGTCCCACGGCAGGGATCCCCAGCCAAGCTATGCAAGGGGAACTTTGAGTACAGTTATTTATATATGCATATTCCCTCAAGAACCCCTCACATTGACAGGGTATCTAACCGTCTACCCCTTCAAATCACAGATTCATACTATGTACAAAAACATTCAAAAATAATATTATCAAATTTGGTTTCCAAGGAAACAAGCCCTAATACTTGCTTCCGTTACTAGCACATTGTGACTGTGACGTTCTGTCACAAATAAACAAAAACAAATGCTTCATTCTCTGGAAGTAATGAACGAGAATGAAATGAAACTAAAAATGTAATATTTGCCATGATTAACGATTTAAAAAAAATGAAAATGTGGATGAAGTTTGTTCATAACATTCTTACCACGATGTGAGTATTTCTATAAACTAGGATGCATGCTTGGTAAAAGTTGACGATGATATTTTTTAAAACGCCAATGACATGAGCGATGTTTAGTAAGGAAAATATGATTGATCAACAATAAATCTGGTTATCTCCCTTTGGTCCACACTCATGGAAGGAGATTCCCAAATATTGTTGACTTTTTGACCAATCAAAACAGTTCCATACTATGTATGTAGAATAACTTGCAAATAATTATGTTTGAACTGTTTGGATTTCTTAAATAAATAAATGTTGATAAGTGGACAATTTTGAAAGTATCAAATCTACCTTTTAAAAAGGAACAGATCTTTTTTCCAAATATCTTCTAAATGCCACTAAAACATTCTAGTATATTCTGACATCGTGAATGCCCACCGAATCACAGTTCATAGCATAGTACTGCTTCATTAAATAATTGACGATGAAGTGTATGAATACATAACATTCGTTAGATGCCATCATTTTGGTCCTCTCAAGGATAAACGAGCCCTCCACCCTTATGAGACAAATTGGGTATGTAAAATCTACATACAGTAGTCCTTGGCAGTAATTAACTACTGCAGTCATTACGAAAGTTCTTATTTAGGCAGTCTCCATTTCGGCAGTGAGATTGCCTCTGGGCTCGATGGACCGAAGGTCAACTGGAGCTACAGCAATATCGGGATGCATTATAGCCTGGTAGTCTTCATCATGCGTTTCATTGGCTCGGCTAATGCTGGACCGAGGCAGGGAGAGAATGGGCATGTCTGGACTCTGTGAAGCTTCAGCCTCGACTTCCTCTTGGCGTGCGTAGTTCCCCTCGGGAGCGGCGTTGTTGATGGCTGGCTTGTTGGTCTCGCCATGTTCTTCCTCTGCCCGATGTCCCGGTGTAGCACCATGAGCGATCCCATGGATAAAAGGCACGGACATCCTCGCTTAACATTTCTTCTTGATCATCTTTGACCGACAACAGCATTCGCGATTTCACTGTAGGAGAAAAACATAGTTGTAGAGACTGTAAGCTTCCAACTCCAGAGGCTAAGTCTTATTCGGGATACAGCAATATTAGTATTGAAACTGTTAGCATGGCATGGTCATATGTTTTCACACACATTTACGAGTGTAACCTTTATATAGTATATTATATATTTTGCATTATATAAAAAACTTGAAATTATCTTTTGGTTAATTACTTTTTTCCAGTTTTTGTCGGAGATTGATATGAATGAAAGTACATGGTTCTCTTTCTGTGTGAAAAACACATGACCCAATGCAAGAAAAACTAGATTAAGGAAGAACACAAAAATACAACTGACATTTTAAAGTTACCATCACCAAATCAATCTTAACATCTTCCACCAAAATATTCAGTGGGAGATAAGATGGATGACACAAAACCTGAGTGATCTAAATGATGCTACTCAAAAATCCAATTTCTTCGAATGATTACAGTTACTCTGTCATGGCAGGACAGATTAACCATCAGTATAGTCACTGCAAGAAAACATTTAATGTTCTTGAGTGGTAAATAAATGTTTATTTTATATATTTTAGCAATCTGCTGAATTTTTTATCATACTTGCAATTGCTTTACCTGAAAGAATCTTTGATAAGAAGGTCTAGATCAGGTAATCAATGTTGTCATCAATGACAGACTGACAGACTGACATACTGGTTTATCAGAGCCACACAGAAGGGAACCATTTTTGGCTACAGATTTACGAGGGGTAATCAATTTTAGGACTTGTAGCTTTTGAGAAGTCATCCAATTCTTATCTCCCATCATGACAAGTCACTCATGCAGAATAACTCACTATTGGGTGTGGCATAGTCGCCATTGACCTTGGCATTGCCAATACTCGGCCCGTGGTCGGGTGTCGGGCGGATGTGATCTGGTTTTGACAGGAAAACGGGACTGACTGCCCGAGCCCCCGGAGAATAACCAATGTTGAGAGAAGTGGGAGACCAGCTGCCCAGGAAAACAGCAAAGCACAAAACAAGGACCTGCAGCAGACAAGATGGCCGACAGTCAGATACTTGTGTCTGCTTGCTACTTAGTTTCCTGGTGTAGTTTCTTAGATTAATGAATTCCATAAAAATTCGGACGAAAATTTTGGGTAAAGGTACGAATTATCAGAAAATGACCACATTAGTGTGAATTTGAATTTGGACTGATTGTCCCATTTGTCTGATAACGGCTGCAGCTCCCTCTAACATGTCCCGTCACCAGTATGAACCAACACAATCATGTACTGTTACCTGCAAGAGCCTCCAGCAGAACACAGTCCTGGCTTTACCGAGCCTTGTAACAATAACTACATAAATGCTGCGAAACTAATAACTCCGACCTGCTCTCAGGCTTATGATTTCAGCTTTTCGAACTTAACCTTCGAGCAAAACTTTCAAAGAATTTACAAAAAGATTTTTTTTGTTCATTAAAATCACATATTTCATTACTTTTGTTCACATATTCTGCTGGAATGAAACATCTGATTGGTTGATTCATGAATACCATGTTTGCAGGGAGCAAAGCCCACCACTGGACAAATAGGAAGGAAATCACCATGTACCCAAAATATTCACATTAACTAGCAATATCACCATGCAAACTCATCAGAACGAAAAAAGGTAATTTTCATCAATACTGTTAAAAACAGACATTAATTCTTCACATCTTTTTTGAGTTGCCATGGTAATATTTCACAGACGTCCTAAGAGTCTGCTTTTCAAACATCTCAATCTTAAACTGTAATCTACTTTTGTAGAAACTAACTTTGTAAATGTGCTTTTAACAGAAATTGTGCATTAGTTTTAGTCCATAAGGACAACAGTGCAGTGTGAGATTATGATAGATGCTGATAAATAACTCTTTTAACAAAGTTTTAAAATATATCCTAAAATGAACTCCTGTTATATCTTCTTTCACAGGAATGGAGGAGTTGAGCAGAGAAGGGAGGCAACTCTCACTCACCATGAGAACAGTTCCTGTCTGTGTTGCAGAGGCTGCAGATGGGCGTGGCATCTTTGAAACAAGTGCTTGCAACTTGTGCAGCTGGCCCAGCAGAGACCTTAAACAGCAATGTGCATAAATAAGCTACCTTTAATCAATTGAAGAAATCATAATAATCATCAAACCAAATAGAATTTTGCACTTGAATTATAACCAATCAGATGTTAAAAAATTAAAGGTATCAGCTTGTCAATTAAGATCTTCCTAATTTGATTACCAAATCCATTGAAAATAAACAAACCAAACACTAGGAACTCTAGCCAGTAAAAGTCATCTAATAATTGAAAAGCAGTACATTAACATATCCATTCAACACAATGTAGTATATATAAATCTAGCCATATAATAGGCAATACAACCTACCTGTTGTTATTCTCTAATGAATCAACCTTTTTCCGCAGGTCAGAATTTTCCTGGTTAAACGATTCAACCCTGCAAAAAAAATATATACTCATGAATCGCTGCAAACATTTCAAACATACAAGTAGATCTGGGGGTTTTCTGGTGCCAAAATATGGATTAAGGCAACTGTCACTGTTTCAAAGTAATTCTAAAGAGAAATTCTTCCTTCTCTGGCTAGAGAAGTGGCTCTATTAATTCATTAACGATTTTATTCATAGAAAAATACAAACAAATGATAAATTTCCAACAAACCTTTTTTCTAATGCTTCTAAGTATTCTTTCTTTTTTCTTCTGCTTTCCTGGGCTGAGATCTAAAATATAATAGTTAACAATGAGGAATTGATTTCAAAACAGAAGTCCAATTCCTAAAATATAATAACGAATAATTAAAGTGTGCTAATCTTCACTGCTTAAGCTACATCACAGATGCTCCAAAACGATCTTGTCTGGACCAGATGGACCAGACAAACCAGTGATTGACAATGTGATGTGGGCAAGAGGACATCCCATGAACCAAGCCAGCACTTCTGACCACCAGGGTGCCATTGTATAAAGCGATCTTAGCGCTAAGGTGACCGTAACTCCCATACTTTAACATTGACTTAAGTTCGTCTTAGCACTAATAACGGTTGTTTATGTACAACAGCAACCTGATCCACCTCTCAAGGCCAGCATAGGTTCTTAGGGACCTATTCTGATCTAGAGTTCCCTCAGGGATATAAGTGAGCGAGTGAGTCAGTTTAGTTTTCAAACCGCTTTTAACAATAGCCCAGCAATATCACATTAGGGGACACTAGAAATCAGCTTCACATTCAGGAATATAAGCATTGACCCATATGAAGGGGGGATCCCAATCAGTTAGGTCACTCAAAACCATCCTCTATCATCTATAAACCCTGGAATATTCATTTGAGTGAGTCATTTTATTACAATTTCGTTTCAATTGTTTCATTTGAAACACATAATTTAACAAAGACGTACCTTATTTTTTATTTTTCGACGGATTTTCTTCAGATTCTTTTCCTCTTGTTTTGTGAGTGGCAATTTACCAGGAATGGGGTAACCCTCAGAAACGAGGGTTCGTTTCTCCTCCTCAGAGAGTATCAACACTCCTGACTGTGGTATCTAAAATAATATATGCCTTGTCAACAACACAGTTTAACAAAACAATTATTTTCAAAATATTGTTCATCGTTTATTTAACTCTCTTAAACATAATATATGCAACGTCAGCATTTTAAAGTCACTTTAAGTAAGGCGTGTACTTAAATTCTTTTTAATGACAAAATTCTATGATCATGCATTAAAAAATATACAGGAAAGAAAAACAACCAGAAAAACAACCAAAAATATTTAATGGATGCATAGATTATTAAATGTTTTTGTTGCATTAAAGATTTAATCTTTTACAAATTTTAATACAGCAAACAACATAGTAATAATATTAGATGCATGCAATACATTGGTCAAAGACAAAACATGATACTGTTAAGTTAAACTGTGAGCTAAGATCCATGTATGCAAATAAATAGCAATTGTTGGCAGGAAGGTAGCACATTCTCAATATCGGCCAGGGAATACTTTCATGCTGTCCAAAATTCATTCACATGCAAAATAACATCAGATGTATATTATGCAATTTGAAACAAAGCATGTGTTAAACAGATGGATGAGTGGGAGTGGGGACATATTCAGCGTAGTGCAGTATCCAAACCATGGCCTAAAGCACTGGAATCAAACAATGTCGTTGGCATTGCAAGCCAACACTTTAACCACTAGGCTAATCCAAGATGCAGTATGATTGTTATTTTGCAATATTATCATCATAGTAAGTAGCAGGCACTTCATGCTTTCAACATTCAACATTCAATAAGTCCCATAGTATGATAAAGATTTAGGGGTTTTTTTGGGGGGGAAGCTGTGCTATTTATTTGCTGCATGTACACTTAGCTTACAGTAACTTACTGGATTTACAAATAGAGGCTGTGACAGCGCCTTGGCTGAGGAGACGTGATGTGTCTGGCGCGATGAGGTCATCTGACGGATGGGGCTGGAAGGGGCTGATCGCTGGGGACTCTGGCTGCCTTCGCTGTCGCTGCTAGCACTACTGGGGGGTGTTGGGGGGAGAATGATCTGCTCCATTGTTACTGTAACAACATCAACTACATATATTATAGCAACATAAACTAAATCAATCACAACATCTTCAACTACATCAAAAACAACATCATCAAGTACATAAAATACAACATCTTCAACTACACCTAAAACATCCTCAACTACATCAAATGCAAGTACCTCAACTTCATCAAATATAGCACTTTTAACTGAGCTATGCAGAAAACCATGTTCAACAACCATGCTCACTGTCATCATATTTCAGTATAATTGTAACAATAATTACAAATATTAAAAAATAAATTCAGGAACATTATCTACTAACTACAAGAAATGACAAATTATGTTCAGTTTGTTCACACTGGATATCAATAATTAACTCCATATATACCTACATTAAAATTCAAATCAAACATCAATAATAACTAACTGTAACAGCTGTTAATATTTACTTATTATTTCAGATACGAATAGTGACCAATCACATCAATGGGCTCCATTATCACCATGATCTGTAACTCCCTACCCACTCAGTCTTTCTCTCTCAAATTCACAAATTACAGTGAGTAAGTGAGTTTAGTTTTACGCCGCACTCAGCAATATTCCAGCTATATGGCGGCGGTCTGTTAATAATCGAGCCTGGACCAGACAATTCAGTGATCAACAGCATGAGCATCGATCTGCGCAATTGGGAACCGATGATATGTGTCAACCAAGTCAGCGAGCCTGACCACCCGATCCCGTTAGTCACCTCTTACGACAAGCGTGGTCGCCTTGTACGGCAAGCATGGGTTGCTGAAGACCTATTCTACCCCGGATCTTCACGGGCCCACAAATTACAGAAACCATTTTCAGACGTTAACTGCAATCCATGCTACTCAGAACTTTTATAATGCTTACCAGTCTGGTCGGATGTGTCGAATGTGTCTGGAGGTTCCTGCTTAACTGTAATCTGTGGAAACACGGGCTGATCAGGGATGATGGTCGACGTTGGTGCGGCCAGGACAATTGTTGGTTGCTTGGTAAGGGAGGTGGTGGTGCAGGTGTTAGGGGCTGATGTAAGTAAGGGGTCATTGTCCCTGCTTTCTTGTTTAACAATAACAGATGGACTGCCAACACTGCCGAAGGACTTCTGTGAAAGGTCAAGGGCATTTGGGGATCCCATGAAGTCTGAATCAATGTCTGAAAAGAAAAAAAGATTCATATTTATTGATACATTGAATCAGACAGGTTTTATTCAAGGGATAGCAACAGGAAAATATATTCTAAGCAGGAAAACTTAATATTGTGTCATCGAATGAGGGGTTCAGGGAGGGCGATTTTGAAATAAAAATTGGCAGAAATCTGATCAGCGGAAACTTGCCATCGCTGTTATGCATGGGGAATCAAACCTGGGACTTTCAATTTCAGCCAATGTGTTGACCCCAATATATTTATACAATTTCAATTCTGTAATTGCTGCATCATAGATATCAAACAGGATTATATAGTACCCAGTATTAACTAAAAGACTTATTGTGATCAGTATGAACTGACTGAATAACAAGTCAGTAAATAATCCCATCTGGCCTAGCCAAACCAGCAGTAAACGACATGTGCATCCATCCCACAACACAAGAGTTAAACTAACGCTTAGTCCCTGAACATATATAATTTTGATAGTAACAAATAAACACCTTTAAATTCAAAAGGAGACCCAGTGAGTTGGGAACCTGGGAAGTCAACACTTGCTTCATTTAGGGCTTAAGCATTGCAGGGTGGGCTAGGCAGTAGGGGAAATAATGTGGTTCTGGGACTGTGTGAGTGAGTGAGTGAGTGAGTTGGGTTTTACGCCGCATTTAGCAATATTCCAGCAATATCACGGCAGGGGACACCAGAATGGGCTTCACACATTGTGCCCATGTGGGGATTCGAACCTGGGTCGTCAGTGTAACGAGCCGACGCTTTAACCATTAGGCTACCCCACCGCCCCCTGGGACTGTTTGACAGACCACACACGAGGGCAACATGACTTAAAATTCCCTATTGTGACCACCAAATTCTCACAAGCCTGCTTTTACAACTCGGATCATATATAGACCCATTCTACTTGGTAACAGCCGCGACATGAACAAGCCTTTCCAATGGTACCTATGTTAAGAATCAAACCCAGGAGTCCCATGACAAATGAGAGCTGCACCCTATGGACGACCCACAAGTCTAGTAATTAATCTCCACACCTGTTGGTGACAAAGTGTTGTAACCCCAAGGCAATATGAGATATGCTTGTCTGGTTAGAATAGGTCACTGAATCCTTCAGAGCCAGCTGGTATTTCTCACAACATGTATAGAAGCTATTGAAATGTTCCCAGACTGGTAACTGTCACCAAACTGAAAGTGTTTAAATTGACAAATTAATTTTCTGGGACATCTGATTATGAATTTGGCAACAGATTGGAATTGAATAGTAACCTAAATAAAGTGATAAAATTTACATTAGTGACCTAATTAAAATATAGTCATTCTAAAATCATACATCTATCAATAAAACATAACCTACAAAACAGTAAATTCATTGGATTCAGTTTCTCCAATTAGCCATCTCTAAATAGTCATTAAAGCTAAAAGGAGTTGTTCGACCAATATAATCAGCAAACAAACATGGCTGCCACCAGCTGTTGCATCCCAACCTCACCTACACACAATGTATGGGGGTGGGGAAAGATTAAGCCATATATCTGGGATAAATGGGACATAAAAATTAACAGCAGAATAACAAACACACATACATTTCTGAAGGATATAGAGCATTGTTAGCCTTATATTATATCACTAGTGAAGCATTTGGATTGACCAAAACTAACATTTTGGAAAATATATTACCATCATGTCATTCACTACTTCACCATATAATATAGAAAATGTAAATGTCTTGAATATTTTGAACATATAGAAATATTTATGACACTTAATTATCTTTATATATGAAGGTATTTCAAACTTAGATGTGACAACATATGTGTATAACTAGCTTATATAGATATTACATTTATACATCTGTTCCAAATCAATACTACCAATCAATGGACTTTGCATATCTACCTAAAACAGCTTCGTACTACATACCTCTCAACTATTTATAGGGATACAAAGTTATCGAATACTGTGACAAAAGTCAGTGATACGAACAAATGAAAGATTTGTACTTGAAATGAATGAGTTGGTTTAACACCCCTTTCAACAGGATCCAAGTTATGTCCCTTGATGTGGGCGTAAGGTTGAAAGTGAAGCAGATATTAAATGTTTAACAAATTGGTAAAATCCAAGAGCAAGGGCATGGTGCTGGCAAACCTAGAAACCTACCAGGGCAAAACAGGAATAAAAACCATGATCACAAATTCTACCATTCCCAAGGGATGTAACTCTGCACACCATATTGCCACGCCTCATACAACTGGGCCACCCATGCCTCCGCATGAAATGAAAATTAATAAACCAATAAACTGAATACTACCAGTATTAATGACATCATCTCCAAGTAATAGTCCAATAATAGCTGCTTGTCCAAAGTCTGTCAACCTTCATTCTGTTTAGGAAGCCCATCTACTTCACGTCCATATATTAACACTAATTTAGAAATTTTAAGTGACAAGTTTGGTCTTTTGCAATGGAAAGTTATGGCCCATATATATATGCTTGCCCACTAGGTCTCCTGTTACAGTGGGTGAGTGAGTGAGTGGGTGAGTGAGTGACTACTTAAACATTCAGATAAATCAAGGCTTGTTAGCGTGTAAAGTTGCACAAGTTATACATATTTACCAACTGGAATCATAACCCAGTTAAACAGGATTCAAACCCATGATCATACTGTGAGATGAATTTAAGAATAATGCCGACCTGTCATTTGAACCCGTGAATCTGAATAGCGGTGCAGTCCATTTTACCATTAAGGGGCCGAGGGTATGTAAGCGATAAACTGCTGTGAAGCGTGTCAGTCTACTCTCGCTCTTCTGGAACAGGTTCTATTTGCTATTTTGCGGTTGACGATTTCCGTACACAACCCAATACAACACTCGGGAAAAAAATTTGCGTTTAACGATAAAAAAAAATACCAAAAGGTTAATTTCTGTCCTAGCCTAGGTTCTGTGTGTGTGAATATTTTATGGATAATACGTTTGTGCTGTCCTCGATGGGAATGAAATAACGTTATGTACATTCAAAACGGGGTACTAATAAATAAAACAAACGTAACTTAGTAATTTGATTGCACAGTGGTAGTTTATCTGCTATTTGCTACATATAAGTCTCTTGAATCTGCTACTCGTCATCAATATCACTGTCGCATTTACCTTCATCATTTAGTTTGCGCAAGGTACTGACAGATATACCAGTAGCATCGCTGGCTTTTTTGAGTGCACTGTGTGTGCTGTCAGAAATAGTACACATGTACTGAATGACATTGTAGGCAACCTCACGTGTTTGTGAATGAATGACTTGACCCCGTTTACCCAATTTAGAGTGCGACATGATAAGTTTCAAATACCTGCAGAGTTTAATACTCCTTTAATGCTCGAGCAGAAACACGACGCTTCCGAATCATTGCGTAGAAAGTGATTACTGCAAGGATCACAAAAATCGTGTGCATGAAGTTTTCACACCTGTTCCCCCTTCGAGTGTGTAGTGGATCAGTTCACGGCACGCACCCCCCTCTCCTGTCACAAACGCGTCTTTCGCGCACCTCATTCTAATGTTGGTTGGACAGTAGGTTCCTGTCACCTCTAAGGGAAGCAACTCGGCACAAAGATTCTGGCAGTTTAGGTGACTAGACTACCGTGACCACCTACTCTGAAGTATATCCCTGTGGAAAGTTGAGCAGTATATGACACTGCCCTATTTCATGTATTTCAGTATTATTGCAGTAAACTGATCTTCTAACTTGCAGGAAGCAATTAAAATCAATAATGATAAACAAGGTGAACAGCTGTCACGTAATCCAGTTTACAGCATGTAATTAGAGGCTTGTATCCACAAACCGAATCCTGTTTAACACTACTAAAGAAATTTGCTGACCACTGTAAATTTCAGGTTGAACCATATGCTGAAACGGGGCACAGAATGTCCGCAGATGTTGCCCCGATTCAACAACGTTTTCATTCACACTTGTTGATAGGAAATTGAAATCGGCACAAAGAGTACTGTTTGCAACAATGGAATATTACAAGGAGGAAATTCAGAAGAATAATCTTGAGAATATTAGGAAATGTAGGACAATGAGAAGGAAATAACCACAAGCCTACAGGCTAACATTTACTCCAAAAATTAAAGTTACCATATTTATATATGCAATACAAAAAAATAATAAATCCAAATGGATCCTAAAAACTATGCCTAATTTCAGGTAAGGCAATCTGGATTCACCAAATCAGACTTTCTAGGGTTTGGTGGACAAACAAGCCTACAGCAGCCATGACAATTCCCTTTATCACTGCTGGTGCATATTGATTTGCCCCAGATACAGTAATGAGTAAAACAAGTAAAACATATAACACATGTGAACTCAATGCTGACAGAACAATGTCTTTTTCAAGAAAATATGATAAGTTGATGAGTACCAATTCACAAATATTTCTCATTTCAAAGTAGAAAATGCGTTGAAGTTCCTAACTTGACCAAGATGCACCAATCTGAGTATTTCTCCCAAAGTTTTGAGTCTTCGTAATTCAGACGATCTCTCATCTCTGTTTATTCTGACTCAATACACAAACTGTGTTTAGGTGCGAAAGTTAACAAGTGGTGTATTTGACGAAGTTGGATTACCCAGCCCATGTTACATCACAAACACTTAGCTCAGCATTAGTCCACGTCTGCTGTCTTCAACAAGAGAACACGGGACATCATGCTAACAGATACCAGACCAATTTTTTAGTTTATCATGGATTCTTTGGACTAGTTTCACTGGATGGAGGAGGAAAATAATGGAAAAACAACAACCCAACCTTGATCAATAAAAAAATTTGTTTGACAGATAAATGAGGCAAAATGATTGGATGGAGTTGGAACTAACAAAAAAACATCAAAAAGATCAACATGTTCTGCAGCAACTGGCCTGGAGTAGACGCCATTTTCAGTTACTGGTATGCAAAATTGTGCTCGCAACAGTAATCTGCCAGAAGTGATTTGACGGGCAGATATGCAGCAGACGTCAAATGAAATTATTTACAAGTCTGCATGTGACAAGTGACAAATGCAGAAATAATGTTTCCTTCAGTTGAGAAATCAATCACTATCACAATGTTGTGGGTGAAATATTTGCAATATTCATAATCATTTTTCAGATATTTTTCTTCATAAATCAGTTCAGCTGGTCTTGAATGCAAGAGAAAACAAACTGCTCTCTTGGCTGAGACTTGGCCGAGACTTGGGAGGCTTGCCTACATCACACATCTAGGCTCCAGTGAATATAACAACATTTTTTCAAATGCATCTGTCTGAAAACTGACTTGTTTCCTTCAGCCTTATCGGGTAAATTCATGTCAAAGTCTTTAAGATAAAACCTTGTTTCTGAAGTCTGCATGCATACAATCAAACACTCACACCCTACGTAATAGAACCCATCCATCAATTCCTTACATGCTCAAACATGTATACTCAAGTATACTCAAACATACACAAAAAAAACGCAACAAGTTTTTTAGCCACTGAACCATTATCCCATTGAAAGTGCATTATAACAAGTTAAACTGACACAACTAGATTGAGTGAGTGAGTATGATTTTAACGCTGCTTTTAGCAACATTCCAGCGATATTGCGGTGGGAGACACAACTAGAAGTAATCCTGTAAAATTCTTGAGAAAATATTTATCCACCATAATCCGCACAGGATAAAAAACTCGAACACTTTACAATCCACAAACAGATTCTCTTCATGTTTTCATTAGATATCAGCTTTGTCAAAATTTAGATTTACTAAATTTCTACAAAACATTTCTGTTCATATTTATCATTATATCTTTCTTTTTCCCAATATATTTTCGTCACTACATATATGGCTGAAATATTGCCGATGTGATAAAATGTTAACTCACTCACTCATGATATCTAATGCCTGAGTGCCACATTTATCAAAATATCTTTTTCATTCCTAATATGTTTAGTATCTATATTCAAATTCCTGTCACTATATGGCTGCAATATTGCAGAAGTGACGTTACCTTTTAACTCACTCACTCACTCATGATATCTAAGCCCTGAGTGCACACCTTCAATCTTAGCAAGTCCAAGCGGTGATCCTGGAGACTGGTCATTTAGGGAGTAGCTGTGTTCGGACTTGATACATGGGGGCTGTGCTGCATCGGTGATCATCTTGTCGTTAAGTACTGGGTCATCAAAGAAAGAGCTGAGCCAATCATTGTCCATGTAGTTGTCAGGTGCCTGTAACAAATACACAACATGTACAGAAAATGTGCAATATTATTACTATCAAACCAGTCTAATTTGTTTTTGTTCTTCAAAATATTTTGATGGTGCATTTGTCAGGGTTCATTTTGCATTTATATAATATTCTGAAAGTATTTTAAATAAACATTAAGGCATAGACAAATATAAAGCAAAGAGATGTTGAAAACGAGTAGATATAAGTATAACAGTATATTCACTTGCTGTCATTTTATCTATTCATTTTCTACATTATTGTTCTTTGAGGGGCTGAGGCTTCATTGGGGAGGTGTTTGTAGTGGGTAATGGATGAGTGGAGAAAGACATAAGTCTAAAAAGGTTTATATTAATAAATACATACACACTATAGAGCCACAATATATACATGATCACTACATTAAGAAAACCCAGTTTCAGTACAATTTCAACCCACAGTGTCGTTTCGACAACTTCCACCCACAGCATCAGTACAATATTATTATTATTATAGGATATTTATATAGCGCACATATCCACGCAACTAGTACATGTCAAGGCACTGGTATTTTTCCCCTCGATCATTGGAAGTCAATCTTAACAGTAGTTTCAGCCCACATTATCAGTGCAACAAAAAATACCCATACAGTCGGTACAACAAAATGAGTGAGTGAGTGACGTGGCCTTAATACCGATTTGACCAGTCAGCCTTATGTGGGAGTCAAGCCAAACAAAACCCCAATACATTCATACCATTCTTATAAACTTTCACTTCTACCATCCTGCAGACTGTCATTTGTATCAATATTGGATACTTAAAACTGAAATAAACATCCTTTATCACATGCATGTTTCTTAAAAAAAAACCTTATCAGATACAGTGTACGAGCTTGGGTTTCTAAAATGCACCTATCTATTATCTCTGGCGTCTAAAATGCCCCCCAACATGTTTTCAATTCCCCATGAAGCTGAAGCTAAGGTGTCACCGTGCCCCAGTCCAGCCTCAACGTCACACAGACACATGCCCTCCGGCATCTGTGGACTTTTTTAGCCGATTCTTTAACTTTCTAAATGTTCCCAAATCCGAAGCGTGGTTATAGAATGCAAACAATGGCAGAGTGTTAGGCTATTGTTCATAGGCCTCCTGGAACCTGACTAGCCACAGTGGTATGTTGCAGATTTGTGAGACACTCGCCACTTTGTAGGACAGGAAAAAGGTTTCCTTCCAACACAACTTGAGGCGGAGACCACTTAAAGCGGAAGTTCCCTGACTGTAGCATGTCTTGCGATCCATGTTGCATATGTCAGATGTAGGGTAAGTCATGCTCCATGGAGGACTGAAGGCAGGAGTGACCTGGGTTTGCTGCTGCTTACAATACATTTTTTCAGTTGTCGGTTTAATGTGGAGAAAAACTAAAGTGGTCCACATCTTCATTGTTTTCCCCTTAGGTAAAAACAAGCAGTGCAGGGGTTGTCTAGAATAGACAGGGCAGATCTGAGAGTTGATGCCATCATTATGGGATTCTTGCTCAACTAAGGGACATAACTCTAGATGATGGGACCACAGATGTGAGGGGGATGGGAATATGTACTCTCCATATCAGCCAACTAAAACAGGATTGGTTGAAAGCAATGTCTGCTATTCCGACTATGAATCTGGATTCTTACATCGTGGATCATTGCTCTATCAATCGACAATAGCTTTGCCACACCAAAAGCACATCGTATGGAATTGGAAGGAAAATAAACAACACCCAGACAGAGGGAAGGGCAGACAATAAAAATCATAATTTGACAATAATACAGTATGGACCCATGTACTGTTTGCTTCACAACTGAAAGTTTCTGGGGGTCTAGTGTATGGAGAGGCTGTTCACCTCTTACAGCATCTTTAGTTTCAGGCTAGTCAGGTTTTGTCACGACAGAAGGCGGAAACCAGGAAAAAACGTGAAGTGTCAGCGACAAAGCTAGTGTATGTTTCATCATGTGTTATGGTAGGTAAAAGCTTTTGACTGGGTCAGGTCCTCTGCATTGTGAGCAAGCGCTAATGATCAAAGGCACTAGGGCCAACCCTACGATGTTTGTTGGTTAACTTGTTGCAAGTTTGTTTCCTTGAGATACGTGACCGCCTCCCCACTCCCAGTCACTTCATACTGCAAATCCTTATATCACTGTAAAACTGCATCATCATTACCAGGGTCCTGAGCCTGTTCAACACACGATATCTCAGCATTAGGGTGATTGTTATGGGCATAATTTAACTAAGATTGCTTTCTGGAATGAGGCCCTGGATCCACAAAGCGATTTCAGCTCGACGATGATCGTTAGCCTACGTTAAGGTATAGGAGTTACGATCACCTTAGTGCTAAGATAGCTTTGTGCAGGTGGTCCCTGTTCTACAGAGTGATCTTAGTGCCATGATAACTGCAAGACTGTGTTAAAGCATGGGAATTTTGATCACCTTAGCACTAAGATGCTTCTACGGAATAAAGAAATTGGAATGCTAGTCAATGGAAATGTATGGAGTTCAGACATGCATAACACTTACACATTTACAGTTGTCTTAGCGCTAAGATCGATCTCAGGATTGAGTGAGTGAGTGAGTATGGTTTTACGCTGCTTTTAGCAATATTCCAGCAATATCATGGCAGGGGACACCAGAAATGGTGGGGAATCGAACCCGGGTCTTCGGCGGGTCGAACAAACGCTTTAACCACTATGGCTACCCCACTGCCCATCTGTGGGAATGACACCCTGGCAGTTAGCAAACCCATTTCCATCGAATTGGATGTGGGATCGAGTAGGATAAATAATAGAGCAATGTTGATATAGGGCATCAAACCACAGCCTTTGGTGAAATAGGCAAACACTTTAATCACTGGACTACCCCAAGGCCTTAATACATTTCCAGGTTAACCAAACATCAATGATTTACAACATGTCGAAACTAAGACTGTGGGTGAACTGTAGACAGGCAAATACAGTGTCATTCACTATTAACAAGGCTCCCTTTGAAAGATCTTTAATCAACAATGTGTCCAGGTATCTTGTATTTAATATCAACCTCATAAATTTCAAGCAATGTTTTATGGTACAAAGACCTGAATTAAAAAAACACAAATTGAAGTTCAACTAAAGTTGTCCTACATAGTAAACACTGAAATTAAACTAACATGACTGACTGCTGCCTGGCATGCTGTCCGTGTGTGTTCACCAAATAACGTCACTAGACACTGTTGATTTACCCTCCTTGGGAATAAACTTGATATTAAACCATGAAATGTTTAAAGCTGTTTATCCATTTCACAGGTTACACATTGATATAGTTTACAAATGGGGATTAATGGTCGCCATAGGTTACCTGTTCCTACAGCTTGTCAAAACACTGAGGATTGGGTGAGCATGCGATACCCGATGTGGTCAAATACTGCTTAGTCTATCCACAACTGATGTGCCTGGTCTGGATTAGTTGCCATAGTTACAGGTCAGTTTATACAATCATATTCAAAACAAAGCAAACTGGACTAACTTCGTGAATACTTGTTCAAAATATAATAAATATAAATAATGAAGTAATTATTATCAGAGCTGATTTACTCCCTCGGGAACTCTAGGCTTAAACAGGTCCTCAGTGTTTGTTGCTTGATGTAAGATGTAGATGTGCAGAAATGCTCATAACATCAATCACTAATTTGCCTCACCAAGACACGCGGAAAGTGGAGTATGGAGTTAAACAAAACTGCAACTGGTAATTTGTCGAAATACTGTCATCATGCCAAAATCACTGAATTAACCGACTACGCAACACCTGGCACATCAGCGAACACATCAGATTATTTCACCGCACATCTTATATGCACTAGAGGATCGCAAACCATGACATGTGAGTGGGAGTCTTACTGGAGACTTCTGGACGAAATAATGCTGATGTGATGTTAAATGTGAACCCACTCAGTACGGTAGACTCAGCTAACTGCACAAAACTGGTGCATTCCGCAATACTCAATCCAGCACTTCAGTCCAGTTGAAATAAACCAGTCAACATTGATATGGACCAAAACAGTCATCTTGCATAAGTTGAGTACAGTAAACTAGGTTAATACAAGGACGGAAACCTTTCCAAATTTCACACCACAGGACCAGTGAGTGGACAATAATCAGTGGTCCCATCTGTACTTCACTGGTCCAAACAAACATTCACACATTTACTTAACTATCAATACAAAATTCACTGGCCATGAGGTCCACTGCAAACTTATCATTTAGTGGTCCTGATGAATTTTTACTAGCCCGGGAACACAGGACCAGCGTAAATTTCGCAAACTGTTAATACTGAGCACGCTTGTAGCAAACTGATTTTTTGTCACTGTGACTTATGGTATATTTAAGTTGAAATACGTACAACCAGCTACAGTTCTAACTAGATTCAGTGGTGACTTTATCATGACCTTAGTTTAGTGTATCATGTCAGTGCAATATTAAGTGATCAGAATCCGTAACAATGTACCATGAGTGCACATATAAGTTGTTAGCGACCCCTTCCTGGAGACAACACGCAACCAGCTGGGTCCACAGGCCCTCACCAGGAAATGTCTCCAGGAAATCCAGGCTATCAGATCATCCCAGCGAGGAATTTACTTCATTCATTTCCTCAACAATGTCTCATATAATAAATGTTCATGTAGGAAAAGGGGACCAAGCCCATACATCCACCTGGATCTTGGATTCCAACCAAGCATGTCTCTATATTTCACACGACACGGGATGTTCTTATGAAAAATGTCTTCCGTTCATCTTATTCATAAGATCATAGTCAACAGAATTATTTATGTTATTTCCTAAGTGGAAAGGAAATGCTAAGTGCATATGTATGTCTTTATTCATCCTTATTTACTAGGCAAGACCTGTCTTTTATTTTTCATATATTCTCTCGACAAGCAGCAATATGCTGGATTGATATACTACTAAAAAAGCGAAGCACTTGATTTTTATATATGACGATAGCTAATCTTTCTCCCACTTCTCAGTTCAAGCCCTTTTTATGAATCAACTCCATGGATCTTGTACGTCATCACCTCACGCCTGCCTGCTTTGTCTCGTGTGTACACACTAAACAAATAGTAACAAGCTGATATATGTCTATACTACCGGTATGTTCCTGAAAACATACTAGCTGTCGTGTATGTTAGTTACAAGCATAAAACTGCTCCACACTAAACCATCGCCATTCACAAGATCTCCCAGCTACGAGCACAACCTAGAAACAAGGCTGAATAATTGAACACATGGCATTATGTTTTTAGAACTGGGAAAATTATGATGTATAATCAATCGTCTCAAAATGACCATGAATCAATATGTTTCAACTAAAAGTTGACTGTTGCTAGGGACTGTAGATAAGGAGAAAGTATTTGGAAAACATAATCAGAAGTCTGTAAAGTATATAAATATTGTCATCTTCTTATCTAAAATGAAGAGCAAAATTTATAATTTATCAGTACCTTATAAATAAAAACGTCAGTAAGTGCTCTTCTATTTCCCTAATGATCACAGAGTCGGTGAGGTAAGATCTTTTTGCTAAACATCAAGCATGCATTTCAAGTATTCATAACCCACAACATGTACAGGTATTGTAAACTATTTCCCATGGCTGACGATGTTCTTATTCCATATGGCATACATTATACTAGTGTCATCCTCCAGTTAAATCTGGGAGACCCATTGCTATTCAACAAGGGTGTAAGTCATGATCTTTCAGGAAGCCAGGAAACAATCATCATCTGACATTCTGCCATTGCTGACACATGACTCTTTTATGACTTTAGACCAACTGACTCAACAAACACGCATGGGATCTGACAACATAATCTATAAGGTAGATCTCAGTACAATTAAAGCTTCAGTTAAATTGAAATTTAGAACTGAACTTTGATTTTAATTTTATTTTCAATTTTGACATATTTCATTTCCATATAGATATGTATTGAGTCATGCTTCTGTGCTGTTGATAATATATTGATAAGCAGCAGTCAAAATTGCAGTATGTAAATTACTGGAGATAAGGATGTTTAACATTTTGTAATTAGTTTTATGAGTGTTTAATTTGAATATTTGAAGTAAAATAACATAATACAGCAATTACATTAACTTTCCATTTCAATTCAATTTTTTTGCCTATTTTTGTAGATTTTTGTTGTTGTTTTAACAGTTCCTGATGATGAAGACTTTATATGTAACTAGTTACTGGAATACATGATTATATTGTTTCAACATACAGTTTCAACATAAAACTAGTTACATGAATATATGATTTAATTGTTTCACAGTTCAAGCTGCCCCACATGTCATGTGACCTGACAAGTCGGTAAGGCCAGCCAGATTGCATCAGTCGAACAGCTGACTTGAGTTACACTCTGGGTTTGTTTTCAGTCTAGCGATGGAGGCAAATAAACTCTCCAAAAACTTACATGTTCCACATGCTATTTAATGCTTCACCTAGGTCATGTTCAATACATCAAATCTGACATTACAGAAGTATTGTCATCAGTTTCCATTATTGTCTACAGTGAACACAAACAATCCTGTCTAGCTGTTTGCCTAAATTTGTTTTGTCTATCCATAAATTTGTAATTTATTTACGACGTCATTTACCTCAAAAGCTCTACCAGTAAACAATCCTATTGTGTTCATGCTTATCCAGGCTTACAAGGTTCCATTGTTTTCAGTCTGTGGATGAAAATGCATAGCAACAAGTGGGTCTCCCTGGCAACATGTTCTGACCCAGTTCCCACACTCAGTCATATGCAAGCATGTGTAGTCTGGTTTTAACCCTCAATATCCCAACCATAGATTTTCTTTTCTAAACATATAACAATTCTAGCAGACTATTCATTAAGTTTTCCCTACTTCCTCATTCAAAGCCACTCCCTCCCACCCCTGTCCCTATTCACACCCCTACCCACCATGAATGAAAACCTCTAGCCCCACACTCCTTCCTCATACAGATAACGCTGTTGGTAGTTCACTCAGCTGTGGAAAGGGGACTCCATCTGCTTATTTGAAAATGTTAAAAAATCCAAATTTAACAGATCAAACATAAATTCAAAATCAATTCATGTAACATTTTGACAATGACAACACTCAATTTGACATTACATTCTTTAAGTGAGAACATGCACTGATAATAAATTAACTCCCTTACTTAAACTTACTCACCCAAATAACATCCTATACAACAAGCAATAGAAGATAGTCTCAGTTCCCTATCCCCAGCCCCAGATTGCCAAGTAAACATAAGTTTACCTACAGTAAAGAAGCACCTGTTGAGTAAACAGACTCTGGTTCAACAGTGTGTGACTTACACTCAGTAGAACAGATTTAAACTCTCATCAAGTCCATTCAGGGCCCACAAAAACAGCTCCTGTGACCCTCAGGTTAATCTTTGGCTATTTACAGGTCCCACTATCAATGAACTCAAGCTGAAACATCCTGACATCAACTATGACACTATGACTGCAATCAGATATTGAGCACTGCTGCAACAATACTATCAAACATGTCACCTGGAAACTGCCTTGAATATTCTATCCTTGTTTCCCCTATCTCAGTGCACCATTGCCTGCAAGCAGGATCTAGAATCTCACCTCTAGCCAGTGTCTTATCTGATCCTCTTGTCATCAAGGATCACTGCCTGTAGCATTACATACCCTTATGCCCCAACCTTCCAGGATGTCCCCTCTCCTCTCCCTTTCACCCTTAAGTTCCCCCCAAGCCTCATTATAACCCTTCCCCCTTTAACTTCAGTCCATTGGGGGCTGATATGAATACCCCCTACTCCTGATCCATGACAAGTAATGAAGATATTAGACTAACAACTAGTCTCTGAAATGAACATATTTTATTGAAAAATGTTCATAGTAAAGAAAAATATGATATAATGAAAAGGAGCCCTGAGACTTTCTTCATTTTCAGAAGGTGAGGAAATCTAGACTTGCACATTTTCTAGACTTGCGTGGGCTTTTCTTGGATATATTTGCTTCAGGGTCTGTACGAGAGACTATGAAGATATATACGCATAGAAATAAATCTGGGAACATTTACAAATACAAAGCAGTTGTGTGAAATTATCAAATGCCTTGCCAAAGATTTGTTTTCAATTTCTAAAAGGTGACCAATGTTTAAAATCCTTTCTACACCACCTGCTATGAAGTTGCTGGAATGTTCTGAAAAGCAACAAAATAAACCACCCACTCTAATATATTCCAAGAAAGATAAGATAAGGTCAAGATAAAATATTTATTGCACAACATTCCATGAAGAAATGCAATATTCTAACTTAACAACACAAATACATTCCACATGCAAATGTTAACTAAATGAAGGTCAGAGTTAAATTTATTTTGTTCTAATAAAGATGTCCTACATTACAAAGCTGTCAGCATCATCCATCTGTTGGCTTTGTTTTCTACATCTGTTGGTATCTACCCAGTTCAGGTCAGTGAAACTACATCTGGAAGAGGATTGCCATGCTGATCTTATATTCCCTATCCTGAACAACGCAGGAACAAATCAGGTCAACCAGGATGCATCGCAGCAAGTTTCATCTCTACCCGTCACAACTCAACAATCATCTCTAATCGACACCCAACACAACTCAGCACCCTGGTATGTGTACACATCCTTCATATCAGGTGTTCACAGAGACCATCCTAAAAGCAGTTGTCACACTGACAATATCAGCACACATATTCAAACAACAGTGCACTTTTAACAAAGATCCAGTATTTACCCTGTCTACCCCAGCCGCAAACCTAGTCTGTATGGGGTGGAGGATCCGGGTTTCAAATTTCTGTTGTGACATACCCCCTTTTAACCCATGGACAATAAACCCACTCCCCTAATGTCCCCCTATACATCAATGTCCACGGAGAATGAGGGTTAGAAATTGTCTAATGCAACCTATGCTTTATGTGAGCATCAGTTTAAACCACATTTCGCAATATTCCAGCAAAATCACGGTGGGGGGACACCAGAAAAGGACTTCACACATTGCACCCATGTGGGGAATTGAACCAGGACCTCTCTGCTTTATGTACAAGAGGATTTAAATGATTGAGTGATCAGGAACAGTTGATGCTGTGTAATGATACCCTGATGATGAATATTACCATATGTGGCTTCTCCAAGAAGATGGGGTGGTGTGGTAGCCTAGTGGTTAAAGGGATTGCTTGTCACGCTGAAGACCCGGGTTCGATTCCCCACAATTCCGGTACAATGTGTGAAGCCCATTTCTGGTGTCCCCCACCATGATATTGCTGGAATATTGCTAAAAGCGGCATAAAACTACTCACTCTTCAAACAGAAACCATCGAGAACCTCTTGTACCTGGCATGGTGTTCCACATGCACAAATGACCTCTTTCTCCCCAGTAAACATAAACACGCGAAGCCCACCATCCACTACAAGGGATGACTTCCAGGTGTCACAATCAGTCTCAGATGTTATTCTCATATTCCTGTTCTAAGTGTAAACAAGATCTGCCATAATCATTATGAATGTTTAGCCATCACAGAACCTACGAACATGACAGTCCAAGACATGTGTAGTGACATGCCATGATATATACCAGCACATGCCATGTGCCGCAATGTACCATATTCCATAAGCCATGATATATACCAGCACATGCCATGTGCTGCAATGTACCATATTCCATAAGCTATGATATATACCAGCACATGCCATGTGCCACAATGTACCATATTCCATGATATATACCAGCACATGCCATGTGCCACAATGTACCATATTCCATAAGCCATGATATATACCAGCACATGCCATGTTCCACAATGTACCATATACCATATTCCATAAGCCATGATATATACCAGCAGATGCCATGTTCCACAATGTACCATATTCCATAAGCCATGCTGTAACCAGCTGATGCCATGTTCCACAATGTGCCATATTCCATAAGCCATGATATATACCAGCTGATGCCATGTGCCACAATGTACCATATTCCATAAGCCATGATATATACCAGCAGATGCCATGTGCCACAATGTACCATATTCCATAAGCCATGATATATACCAGCAGATGCCATGTTCCACAATGTACCATATTCCATAAGCCATGCTATATACCAGCTGATGCCATGTTCCACAATGTACCATATTCCATAAGCCATGATATATACCAGCTGATGCCATGTTCCACAATGTACCATATTCCATAAGCCATGATATATACCAGCAGATGCCATGTGCCACAATGTACCATATTCCATAAGCCATGATATATACCAGCACATGCCATGTGCCACAATGTACCATATTCCATAAGCCATGATATATACCAGCACATGCCATGTGCCACAATGTACCATATTCCATAAGCCATGATATATACCAGCACATGCCATGTTGCCACAATGTACCATATTCCATAAGCCATGATATACCTGTGCAATGGCAAAGTTCCATATTCCTTGATATGCCTTGTTCAGGAAGTCATGCTATACCTATGTAATGGCAAGCAAGTCCATAATATATTTTGTTTACCATGTAATACCAATGACATGCTATCATATTCCATGAAATACTTTCATATAGCACATGTAAAATAATATACCAGTATATTATGTTTTAATACCATAAGATACCAAATTCCATATGACATGATTGAAATATACCAGTGAATTGATATAAATCATTGTATCCAATTGTGCCATTATTCATACCATACACCATAGGCCCTGACTCCCCATAATATACCAGTGTAGGATAAATCATGTTTATACTATCTGCCATGATATACCATATTCAGTTATATACCAAAACAGTCCATATGCTATTATACATTTCCTTATCATGTCATGGTATATCAGGTATATTGTGCTATACCATAAACCATGAGATGCTGTGAAATACAACTATCTATCACCCAGATATGTCAAACTGATATCCCAGACTATCCATCACTATCCTATTCCAGGACCAGCATTTCTAGCTGGTGCTGATAACTCTTTCCATCACAACAGAAATATGAAATCAGGAAAACAAAGAATATCCTCACAGACAGTTAATTGCTAATGTTCCAAACCCTAAACCCATTGTGAAGGCCCTGTGATAGCATCTCTTCCAGTCCAAGACATGTGTTGCCGATTCCATCAACAAGTGTGGCCTCACCATGTGTGTAACCCTATCTGCGGTTATCACAAGGAGGTCAAGTTCCAGCCTCCTTTGTCTCTTCTCAATCCATGATGCCTTTTGAGATCTCAACACATTCCCTCCCCAACCCCTCCCACAGGGAATTAATCTACATTTCACCAGATACATGTATGGCATGATAATTAAGCCTTATACTATCTTACATACAAATAGTCAAAACACATCCATGCTATACTTTATCTTTCATGTCATGACAGGTAACTATAGTAACGTGAAAAACTGGGTGTTCTTAACTTCTATGAGTAGTATATACTGAAGCAAAAATTTAAGTACATCTGTAATCATTATCTCTTGATACATTCACTTTATTTTTATACTTATTTCTCATTTTACAAATGTTCCCTTAGTAACAATTATGTGGAAATTCATTCATGATTGTTAGTTGTTTCAACAATGTTGCAGTTCTGTTGGTCTTGAAGATGACTTCCTGTCCGTTTGAAACAAAGTGCCTCATCAGCAAAAATTATACTGCCATGATGCCTCATGATTATTCATGTTTATTCATGAACACACAATGTTATCAGTTCCAAACTTCAACTTTTAATTCCCTCCCACTCTTTAACACCTGTTTCAAGATGACAAAAAGACAACTTCCACAAGGCCGGTTATATCAATAGCTATGTATTCTCATACGTCATTACTATATAGACTGGATCATCAAATAGGCAATGCTGTTCCAATCAATATGAATAAAAGGCAATCAACATCTGGTTCATTGATTTCTATAATACCCTTCGAAGAAAAAATGTTGGTTTGTATAAACATTAATGTGAGTGAGTGAGTGAGTGAGTGAGTGAGTGAGTGAGTGAGTGAATGAGTTAGTTTTAACATAAATACTCGCAACATTCCAGTTGTCAAAGCTATGGATATCAGGCACTACCATCACACATTCTTCCTATCTCTGGAATCAAACCTGGGACTTTGGCAAAACAAGCAAACACTTTAACAACAAGACTACCCAACTACAAACCAAATTCATTTAACAACATATCTTTGTATTAAATTGCTATAAAATCCTCGCTATTTTGTAAATCTAATAATAATATTCTTAGCATAAGTATTAAAGAAAAGCAACAAAATATATTTAACAAACCTTAGCATTATTTTATATCACAACTCCTTATAAATTTCTTTTCTTCCATTCTCAAGTATCTCATTATCTGTACAACCATTTAGTCTGCAGATCACATACACCAAAGATGAAAGCAGGTGTTTTTTCTGTGATAATCACATATTAACATGTACAACTCAGAGATGTTTTCAGGATAATAGCATGTGACAATACGCATTCAGTACTAGCACACTAGCACAGTTATGGGTCAAAAAAAGTTTCCATATATTCATAAACAGTCCCTATATCTATCAATCATTTATGCATGACACATTAATGCATAACTTGTTTAGCCATGCTGGAATTATATAGGAATCATATTCATGAGATTGTTCAGCTGCGTAACATACTTGAAGTTTGAAATCCATGAGACTGGGTCCAGCACTGTAATATTTAACCAGACTGCATCAGGTCATTATTGTCGAGAAATAACGGGTGGAAGTGCACACACATTAAATTACAGACACAATCCCCATAGATTTTTGCATCGCAATGACTAAATCCACCACATTTTCAATGGAATCACAGGCAGTGCTAAAAAAACCATCTTACAAGCAGTGGAAATCACTAATCACTAAATCTGAGTTTGGTTTTACGCCGCTTTTAGCAATATTCCAGCAAAAATCACGGCTGGGGACACCAGAAATTTGGCTTCACACATTGTACCCATGTGGGGAATTGAACCCTGGTCTTCAGCGTGACAAGCGGACGAATAACCACTGGGCTACCCTTACTAAATCAGAAATCCTGGCCTGCACTATTTATACATTCCGATGTGGCACATATCCTGAATTTCTAGGTAAATACTGTCAACAAAGTCCTTGATTACCTGTCAAACTAACAACCGATTGGTTGTAACTTTGTTTATCATTTTTATCAAATGTCATAACAGGAAAGCCATTTGATCAAAACAAATAGAGAAAAAAGGGTTTATTGTGTGGTCTACGCGAGATAAAATAGGAAAACATGACTGCTAGATCACTGCTAAACTGGTTCTATCTGCCACTGCTACAGTGACTCTACACTGCAACACCTGGCGATATAGACACCAGGTAATCGTATCAATACAGGTAATTTCAGGAAATGCAGATGAAAATTTTGTATTCTGTGTTAATATTAAAGATGATCAGTTCCTAAGCATAATGTAAGTGTGAGAGTGAGTGAGTGGGTTTGCATATGTACAAGTGTACATGTGTGAGAGTGAGAGTGAGTGAGTGAGTTTGCATGTGTACAAGTGTACATGTGTGAGAGTGAGAGTGAGTGGGTTTGCTTGTGTACAAGTGTACATGTGTGAGAGTGAGAGTGAGTGAGTGAGTTTGCATGTGTACAAGTGTACATGTGTGAGAGTGAGAGTGTGTAAGTGGGTTTGCATGTGTACATGTGTGAGAGTGAGAGTGAGTGAGTGAGTTTGCATGTGTACAAGGTTACATGTATGAGAGTGAGTGAGCATGCATGCATGCGTGTTTGAACATGAGTAAGTGAGTGAGTGAGAGAGTATGGCTTTACGCCGCTATTAGCAATGTTCCAGCAATATCACGCCGGGGGACACCAGAAATGGGCTTCACACAACATACCCAGGTCTTCGGCATGACAAGCGAATGTATGAATACGAGTGCTAGAGGGCATGTGTATGTTTTCTAGTATGTGAGAGAGAGAGTGTGTAAGTGTGTACACCCCCAACACATTTTGGGTGAACATTACTATCAGTCTTTGGTAAAATGATAAAATACTACCACTTCTCACTAACTCCGTACATCTGAGACCTAGCCTGAGTGTCTGTGTTGAGTTCTGGGCCTAGATGTTTTAAGCTCTCTTAGCTCTAAGATAGTCGTAAGTGCCATACATTTTGATTATCTTAGCGCTAAGAGAGCTTCAAAAATCTAGGCCCAGCTCCCAGACTGTTGGTGATGTTGCAAGGGTCAGCTGGTGCAGCTGCTGCAGACACAACACCCCACTGCTACCTTTCACCCCTGACCTTTGTACTGGGTCATGATGTATAGCAACCGGGGAACCTGTGAGGAGTGAAAACTTCAATGTACCCACACATTCGGCTGGCAGGCTTCATTGTATGAACAGAGTCAGCAGACTTCAATGTACGACTCCGATGGCAGATTTCAATGTACCCACACAGTTGGCAGATTTCACTGTACTTCATAATTAGCACCCTCTCAGCTCATTCCACCACATAATCCATGCATGGGTCTGTTATACAGACATGTAACAAAGATATAAAATATATTCAGTGCAAATAAAAAGGTTTTCAAATCTAGATCATAATCAGTTTTGGAACACTGGGGTCCTTTCTGTCATGTATTGAAAGTGATTGAGTGAGTTTTTTGTTACGCTGCACTCAGCAATATTCCAGCTATATGGCGGCAGTCAATAAATAATCGAGTCTGGACCAGACAATCCAGTGATCAACAGCATGAGCATCGTGTATTGAAAGACATGAACAAAAATCTTATAATTTAAGTTAAAGTTATATTAAATCCCCCGATCAAAATATACACCCCGTTGAAAACAGCTTATTTGTTGTATAATGTTAAAAAAAATCTCATATGAAACATAATTTACTGATTATTTTAAGGTATTTATTAGCCAAACATTTATATTTACACTATAACAAACTAAAATCTATAAATAAAATATATTTGAAAATTTATCTTTCTGTGTGAATGACTCCGGTATTATTATCATCAAAGACTGCTGCACTGTACTTGTATCTTGTTAATCCAGCCATCAGACTCCACTCCCCTCAAGGAATAAATGCATAGCGTCTTGATTCATCACACTGCCTGGGTCAGGCCCTCACTGCCTCAGGTCAAGCCCCAGCTCCTCAGGGCTGCATCCAGGTCCTCTCAGGTCACGATGAAGCAGGTCCCCTGATGGACTTCTATTTGATAACTACCATCTAATCATGATAAGATTGAGCAGCTAAACAAGATAGGCTCCCCTTTGACCTGTTTACATGTAAGGTACTGCGTATGTCCTCGCAGGCACCTCTTATATAATAAATCACAACTGCTGGTTTCGACACTTTCCGTATATTCACCAACACTGTTACATGGGGTTTATACCTTTGATATATTACACTGTCTGTATCATACAAATGAACTAAACTTGAGTGAGTGAGTTTGGTTTTACGTCGCTTTTAGCAATATACCAGAAATATCACACAAGGGACAACTTAAATGGGCTTCACACATTGTACCCATGCAAGTCCACTACAAGAAATAAAAACTGATAAAACAATGCCAATAAATGTCTCCTATAAATTTAATTAAGAAACACTTTTAAATATATGAAAAAATGAACCTACAATGCACACAATTACAAACAGGAATAGCACTGAAACCAAACTAATATTTACCCGGTGTCAAAATCAAAGACTATTAATCCATGTTGAATTATATCTTGTTTGGGGTGAAACAAGGACAGTGCAATAAATCATAGGACAAACAAAACAGTGTTAAACTGTCTAGCCTGTGATCCATGTCACGTGTCAATCACTCCAGAGTCTAGATGATCTCCAGGGTAATACCCCCCAGGACTGACTACACCATTACATATGCCTGTCAGAATGTCCCTACCATGAGGTCAACTTTCTACACAACAACTATCTCATGATCTGCGTGATCGTACATCGTTTTGTCAGTTAGTACGCTCTAACATTCCGATACAAATCTGCTGTCAGGCACCGATATACAACAGATAGTACATTGCATATAATAACCCAGCTCATATATCATATATCCTGTTATATACCATAATATACTTTGTTTCCATGGAGATGATATATCACGTGTTTATTGGGAGGTGAAATGCTATTTGACATGCTAATTAATCACTCTTACAGAGAACTCAATAAAAATGAACCTGTTTGATCACTTACTCAACACGTTTTCTTTTGCACTTTTGCAATTATTTTCTATCTGGACATCAACTCTACATACCCCATTACAATCAAGATATTTAAAAAAGGGTTGATCTTCTCAAAAAGGCAAAATAAATATAGCAACTAAATAATCAATTCAAGATTCGTAAACATAAGAGCTACTTCGCAGTCAGATAATCCAATCAAACATCTATAAACATCTCCTGATAAGCTACACATGTACAGTAACCAAAATGGCGTCCATTTGTTAGGTTTATGGCCAAACTAGCCCCCATCAGACAGTTTCATTACAGCCTTGGTTTACGCCACCGTATAAGACAAACAAGCAAATAACACTTTGAGGTTCAGACCTGGTGCTCTTGTTGACTGCAGGTAAACAAATTAAATATATATCCATCAAATATGTTTAACTATGACAAACAAATAACATATTGTTTAAATCCCCTGCTTTAAAAGACCTTAATCAGCATAATTATGTTTGTGTATCTTGTAAGGTGTACAACGGAAAGTGTATATAACTCCACTTCATGCAAGAATATTTATAATCTCTTTATATACACAAATTTCACCATTTAAAGTCGAGTCCTATACAAATAAAACTTTCTACATTTCAAACCAACAGTTTCTTGAACCTAACACAAGGGTATCTTTATGTTCAACTGTAGAACACAGAACATCAATATAAGAATACCTTTAATCTTATTATAGTACTATTCTTGCAATATGTTTAAATATACAATTTATTAATATATTTACAATATTTCTTTTTTTCCCTATTTACACCTAAACAAAAGAATAGTTTTTCAAGTAATTGTTTCTTCTAAACTCTAAGAAAATAGCATGATTAGATGGTACTTGACAACAAGCATACTTTTCAAATGATTTTTTTCCAAGTTCTCCAAAATAAAAAGATTGGTTATTTCCAAATGACGTCAAAAATGAAATAGAGTTCATTCTTGGCAACACAATAGATCAGTCTCCAATATTTTCAACCCTGCAACAGCAAACTGTAGAACTTGCAGATATCCTAAGCATTCACAAAATCAAAATCAAAATGACAATTCATTTAATTTTTTTTTTTTGGTCATGCTGATCAATAAAATGCAATTTGTCATGAAAACTTAATAAACCAGCTTTTATTACTGCCTTGGGCTAAGTGCATGAACAATGAATTTTGTTATCTTAGTAAGCATTCTACCCCTCCAGGTATACTCTCATTCATTGCCTTGAAGAAGATATGATTTAAGAAGACGACCCCTTTTAGAAGATTGATCGAAATATATATAGCATGTACTTTGTAACCACCATCTTGACAGGTGCATACAATACAACCATAGTGGTTAGGAAAATGTCACATTCTTATCAGTTTATGTCAAGCTAATTTTCTGGAACAGCATAGTAATACACCAAATCTTTGTCCATTGTCATGGGATTTGGAAGCAATAAGCAAAATTAGCTTTTAGATTAATTACAATCTGACATTTTCATATACATAGTTACTTATCGATAGGTATTGGAGAATGAAATCTTGACATGCACTATGATTTAATGTGAAACAAGACTGAACACAACTGCTCATACTCAGGTCACACCATGTACTTAATGGCATTAAGATACATGCTGTTGATGAGGGTATAAACAAAGTAATTAAATTTCAAACTTTGATTCACATTTTATCGTGCCTCAAACTTTACTGAAATAAAACTATTCCACCAATATACACTGTTATAGCCATCTGCCTGGATACATACAAAACCACATTCATTCTTACTTTCTAACAGCTAATAAATAATATTTGGTATGTCTGCAGCCTGCAGTGATTCTTGAAGGCAAAATAAACACTATAATCCTGTGAAAATGGTTAACAGGTTGTGTGCCGAGTGACCCATCTCATGAATATTCATGAGGTCAGAGTGAAAGTAGTTCCGGCAAGCAACAGCTGGTATGTTCCAATGGTCAGTATACCAAGGCCTGCAGTAATTACTATAAGTGGACAGTAGAGATTGGGTCCAGTGTTGCAGCTGCTCTAAATTAAAGATGTTGCAGATTCTAGGAATTAAATTCAACTTTTATTTGAGATTAATCCACACAGGGTAACCTGTTGTACTTCCTAATTAGACACATCAGGTGGCACTTCCATCCTTGTATACATGAGATCCAGTACTCAATATTCATCTAAAATGCAATCTTATTCTGTGAAGGAATCATCTCATAATACACTTATAAAGCAATAAACTTATTTCCTAATTTGGTCCAAAATAGGCCACCATTACT